TCTCTCCTTCTCTCCTCTCTCCTTCTCTCCTCTCTCCTTCTCTCCTCCTCCTTCTCTCTTTACTGTTCCCCTCTCTTCCCCCACACCCTTCCACTTCTCTCCGTCCCATCTTCACACCGCTTCTCTAATCACAAGCCGTGTCTCCCCGGTGTTTGCTGATAAGGATAATGATTCTGTCCATTTGACTTGCGCGGTTTATATTTCTCTGATTGATAAACCTTGCGATTGAATTTCCCTGAAAGTGTTAGTGGATTTTAGATGCAAATTCACAAACTGCCCATACGTTTGATTACTGAAATTTCCGAGTATTTCATGTTACGGAGCCACTTTGCTTTACACTTTAACGTTTTAAGGCAAGATTTAATCGACTTATTAAAATTACGGGCGCTTTGACAGTGAATAGAGAGGAACTGTTTCTGATGGCAGGAGTGTCAAAAATCTGAGAAAACAGTTACGAGAATTGTCAAAAGAACCAGAGGAAAAAAATGAGAATTTCTCTTTATGTAGTGAGCTTTTATGCTCTAGATTGTACTGCCTGAGAGAGTGCTGAAAGGAGATTCAGTAGTAATTTTCCAAAGAGAATTGGTTATGTACTTGAAAAGACACAATTTACAGGACTATGCAGAAAGAACAGAAGTGGGGCCAGTTGGATTGGTCGTTCAAAGAACCAGCGCAGAAGTGATGGACTGAATAGTCACCACCTGCTGCATGATCAAGAATCTATGAATTTCAACTAGTTGTAGAAAATATTAAAAAAAAAATTGTAGCTAGGTCATGCAAGTGATGATAGTCCATGCAGATTTCAGTCATATATGGAAGAGTAATCTCTAGTCATTTTGTGGTAGAGTTATTGATCCAGGCTAGATTTCTTTTTTAAAAAATTGCAATATACCAAAATCTACAGTAAAAGTAGAATCTTCTGGAATTATACAGCAGGACCCATAAGATCACAACAGATCTAACACGGCTTAATACTTCAGGTTGAGACCGTTCACAGAATCTTGAACCTGTGGATGGATTCATACTTAAAGCAGAGCCTGTCTTAATTTCTTTAAGATACTGTCATATATATTTTTAGTTTAATCAGTTCTAGCTCATTGTGAAGAGGTTAATTTATTGCACAACCTGATTTGGATCACTGCCTATGCCACACTTAAATAAAGCACATTGTCTGAGGCTTTCTAATTTTGTTCTGTTAACATATTGGCAGTAAAGGCCAGCAAACCTGAAACTGAGGGTGCTGACTTGCACTTGAAGCTGCAGCATCTTTGGATTAATGATTCGTATTGCTCTTGATGTTAAATTACCCTGTTTCCAGTCAATATGGTCATATTTCCAGGTGAATATTAAATAATCTTTCAGAGCTCTAAATTTAAATTTAAATGCAAATGTACAAATTGACAGAATAGAATGAAACACAGTGTCGCCACCTGAAATGTTACTTCCTCTCACCACCCTTCTGATCTGTCTGAATATACAGCATATTTCTAGAAGCCAGTGCCAGCAACAGATTTCAAGTTAAGTTAAGTAAAGCAAGCATAAGGAAATAACAATGTGTTTAATTGTATGAGTAATCTTCTTTTATAGAAAGAAAATTGTATTAACAGGTGGTCTGAGATCTTTTTATAACCGGTGAGGAAATGATACTGAAGCCAGCAGGTTAAGGCTGCTGGTTTACTCTCAGGATTCCAGTCTAACCTCTTCAGTCTCAATCATAATCTTTCTTCAGCTTGTACTGCTGTAGCACCAGGTAGATGATTCAAAATTCTTTAACGCTTACATGCCTTTAATAACTTGCATTTATGGGACAACACAGTGGTGCAGTGGTAGCACTGCTGCCTCACAGCACCAGGGACCCGGGTTCGATTCCACCCTCGAGTGATTGTCTGTGGAGTTTGCACATTCTCATCGTGTCTGCGTGGGTTTCCTCCCTCAGTCCAAAGATGTGTAGGATAGGTGGATCGGCAATGCTAAATTGCCCATAGTGTCCAGGGAGGTGCAGGCTAGGTGGATTAGCCTTTGGAAATAGTTAGGATAGTAGGGAGGTGGGTCTGGATGGGATGCTTTTCGGTGTGTCGGTGTGACTCGATGGGCCGAATGGCCTGCTTCCGGTAGGGATTCTATGGTAAAGTGTCCCATGTCTCGTGATAGAACACAGTTCAGCAAAATTGCTGACTTGAAGGAGCAGATATCAGTACAGGTGACTTGGTCAGATGACTATTCAATTTCTTAAGAAAAAAATCTTGTACAGTCACAGTGCTTGTGATCTGTGTTGCAGACTTCGATATCACCCCTGCTTCTTTTCCCATCATTATCCATCTAGTAGCTCCTTTGAAGTTCAACCAAGGAAAAAGAAAATCAAATGTTTGCCTTGCACCTCCATAGAAGTATCTCACACAGTACAGAACTTAAAA